CTTTGTTAAACCTGCTTCTGGAAATGAACCTTTGAGCCATTAGACTTTAGGGACATTAGGGGTGAATTCCCACAGAGGAGGGATGGAATGGCAGCAGATCAGCGGTCCTACCGGGACGCCATCTAACGCCGCGTTCACGATGCTCAGTTCCGATTTTCTTGTTAAATCCGATTCTTCTGCCGTTCATATTTCGAAACATATGCCACCTGTTTGTGACCTGCTTCAGTGTCCCGCATGCGCAGCAGAGGACGCTATGACGTCACAGGCAGCGCTGCATCGAGCCATCTTTCCTTACTTTCCCAGCCTCAGCCAGTAAATTAGCAACACAATTTTTCCAGATGGTGGAAATAAAGGCCGCTCTCCGCATCATTGTCCGCCATGGTTGTTACTTCCTTCCTGCTGCTGGATAGTGACCTTTGCTGAGCATCAATGGCGTTCAGGTGGGAGGAATGCGAGCAGAGTGTTCAGGCGCTTTAGTATCGGATTCAGGAGCGCAGAGCCAGGTGGCCTCAGGTCGCCTCGGAAAACATCGGATCTCAGTTCTTCTAAGATTAGCTAAAGGTTGGATATGGTAAAAAAATCACTGCCTGCTGCTGAGGGAACGTTGGGTTAGATGTTCCACCATCGACTGGAGACCTGTCCAAGATGGACCCCGCCTCCCACCGCAGACAGCAGCAGCCCTCACCCCCCCAGGAAGGATAAAGAGTGACGATGGATGGATTGATTGATTGATTGATTGATTGATTGATTGATTGGTCTGATTAGGGATGGTCAGATCTGCCCAGCAGCCCAGTCAGCTGGAACCATTCTAACTACAGAGGTCTTTCCAGTATAACCAGTCCACAGCCAATGGGCTCTTCCTGACCTTCACTCACAGCTTTAGCTCCTCTAGAATGTTCTAGTTCCGTCTGTCTGTTCTGCTGCTCACAGCTCCTCACAGCTCCTCACCGCTCCTCACAGCTCCTCACAGCTCCTCACAGCTCCTCACAGCTCCTCACATCTCCTCACAGCTCCTCACAGCTCCTCACATCTCCTCACAGCTCCTCACATCTCCTCAATGCTCCTCGCAGCTCCTCGCAGCTCCTCACAGCTCCCTAACAGCTCCTCACAGCTCCTCACAGCTCCCTAACAGCTCCTCACAGCTCCTCACAGCTAAAGGTCTTTAATTGAAGTTGAATAAGGAGCGGTTCTTACCTGCAATCACAGTAAAATTCTGCGGGACAGAATCAGGGCTGATCTTTCCGGTTATGATGGGGGAAGCTGCTCCACCTGCAGACGAAGCCGACAGGCGTTATTCCTTCTGACTGGATTCCATCCTCCAATTCTCTGATGGTCTGAGTGGGACTCTACCTGAATCCATGTGCCAGAGGTCCCCAGCTGCTGGGATGGGGGGGATGGTGAGGGGCGAGGCCCCGCAGTTGGACTGGACCAGGATGCCGTGGATGCTGACGGGAGCGCTCATGCCTGAACGGAGGGCGGCTTTCAGTGGCGCCACGTCGTTGAGCTGAACTCTGGACAAGCAGCCCACAAAGCCGGGGCTGTTGTAGCGTTCGATCAAAATGGGGTCAATCTGTCCCGTTTCTGCAGAGAGCAAAGGAGCCATGCGGTCAAATCCATGAAACGGACAAGCTAGTTAGCTACGGGAAAACGAGAAAACGTCTTTTAGCATCAACAGTTAACTTTCTCTATCGTTATGCTGCTTTAGCCTTAGACTGCTGGAGGACCCCGCTTTTCATAATTCTCCATCCATCATCCATCCATCATCCACCCATCCATCCATCCATCATCCATCATCCATCCAT